CTAGCGGAGACAGAAGAGAATGATTAGGTATGGACACTGCTCAGTCTGGGGTTTCTCTGGAGGAAGCAGGAGGGATGGTCCAGGCCTGGAGTATGTGGCACGGGGGCTGTGGGCACTCGAACGCCCAGAGCAGCTCACGAGCAGGAGAGCCAACCTCGGGACAGGCTGGGGAGCAGGGCACCAGCCCCAAAATTCAACCCTTCGACTTCACCAGCCGAGCATCAACTGTCCAGGCTCTGCAACAGCTGGGGTTTCTCTGGAGGAAGCAGGAGGGATGGTCCAGGCCTGGAGTATGTGGCACGGGGGCTGTGGGCACTCGAACGCCCAGAGCAGCTCACGAGCAGGAGAGCCAACCTCGGGACAGGCTGGGGAGCAGGGCACCAGCCCCAAAATTCAACCCTTCGACTTCACCAGCCGAGCATCAACTGTCCAGGCTCTGCAACAGCCTGGCCACAGAGCCAGACACTCGCCACCTAGGCAAACCTCCCTGATGGGCCAAACCCCACAATATTCAAACTACTCCCAGTCCCAGGGACCAGCCACTTGCCCCAGCTCAATTGGGCCTCAGATCTCGTACTCAAGACAAGCCGTGCAGCCAGCCCTATAATCAACCGACGATTCATTTGTCTCCTCTGATGAGGTGGGTTTTGCCCACCAAAACTCGTGGTACAATTACTGGCTAGTCTCTAAGGTGCCACAGGACAGATCGTTCATCAGTTACGACAGAAACGAGACCTCCGGAGACGGCAAAAGCAGGTGCACATCCACACACACATGCAAAAAGGCAGGAGAGGTGCTGTAATGTGCAAGCGCTGTGCCCCCAACCCAGGCTTAGCAGCTGGGTACGCCTTGCCTATGCTCAGAAAGCTCGCGCCTCAGTTTCCTAACGGCACAGCAAGACAGTCAGGGATCATTATTGGCTTCCCCCAGAGTTCAAGGTGATGCAAGTCTCCTCTTCACGAGTAGGGGGGTGTAGGGTGGAGGAAGGCATGAGAAAAAAAATGAGTCTGTTCTTTGAGGACATGTCAGAGGGGTAGTAGCCCTGTTAGCCCGTTCCAGCAAAACCAATGAGGAATCCCACAGGTCCGCAAAGATAAATGGATCTGGGCATCAGCTTTGTGGGCTGAAATGGTAAGAAGCCACCATTTTGCATTAATTAACAGGCCTTCCCTGTTTGATGACTTACCCGGTTACAGAGGAGGAGAATGCAAATACTTGATTCCACACCATAGCGTGGGGGCACAGATGCGGGGAGATTAAAACCTGCAGTAACTCACACGCGTTCCATACAATCTCAACACCCCCGATCAATGTAAGATCTCCGTTAGCAATGCTCATACAGGCAGGCCAGGAGGCCTGTGCATCTGTCAGCCTTCACCGAGACCTAGGGGACGGGTACATGGTCTGCAAGTAGGACAGCTGGACACCCTAGCAGATCACAAGAAAGCCTGCCTTTCCATGCACACGAGCAAGCCGGCCCAGCACAAGAGGCTGGTGGGGCAGGAGGACCCAGCTCACTGTAACTGAGAAATCCAACGCTGTCTTCCCATCAGGACAAGCACCCAAGACACCCACGTTGGGCGGCTGGTCAGCTCACAAGCCCCAGCTCAGAGCAACAGGCCGCACAGCGGAGTCTGGGACAGACCCAGAAGGAAGCAAACAAGCGTTTCACAGCCAGCCAGACCAAGGCAGAGGACTAAGCCCCGCGGCCGGGCCGGCTGTTCCCCAGCGCACTGGCTCTCAGCTCCCAGAAGCTTCCTTACCCCTCTGTTATCGAAGGGGTTGTACACATCCAGCGTCGCGTAGTCCGTGCTGGGCTGGTGCTGCATCACAGCAGGGTCCTGAAACGGAGCACACGTTTGCAGTCCAATGGCCACACACCGTTCCCACTCACCTGCAGCCACCCTGCCAAGCTGCCAGATCTGGCCCGTGGGCCCAGTGGGAGCCTCAGCCCCCTTCCCTGCCCGTCCCCCCCCCGCC